TTTGCCGACTCCCTAGAACGCCAGTTCTCGCCCAACATGTCCCAGACTGACGACCTTGATTTCGAGGAGGAGGTTGAAAACATCCTCCAAGAAATCAAGCACAGACAAACTCCCCGGCCATACCCCCAGTAACGCTCCCCGAACTCAAAGCCCAAATCACCGCCCTCAAACCCCGCAAAAGCCCTGGTCCCGACCAAATTTCCAACAAAACCCTCAAACTCCTCCCAGAAAACCTCCTTAACCAACTCCTCACCCTAATCAATGCCTCCTTCACCCTCAGAACATTCCCATCCCTATGGAAAACCGCCTCCATCATCCTAATCCCCAAACCCGCCAAAAACAAGACCTTTCCCCAAAATTGGAGGCCCATCAGCCTCCTATCCTCTCTCTCCAAAATCACCGAAAAACTCTTCCTAAGCCGCCTCGATGATCTAATCTTCGAACACCAGCTAATTCCTCGAGAGCAGTTCGGCTTCATGCAAAAACATGATTCCGTACTGCAAGCTGCTGGGCTAATTCAAGATGCCACGATCGCGGCCTAGGACAAGGGCTCCACTGGAGTCATTTGCCAGGACATCCAAAAAGCGTTCGACAAAGTATGGCACGAGGGGTTAATCTGGAAACTTCTAGACCTACACAAACTCCCCTTAACCTTCGTCCAGTATGTGGCAAGCTTTCTCTAAAAGAAAAAGTTTTTCATATCACTGAACGGCACCAAATCCTTTATAACCTTTTCACGGCCGACGCCCCCAAAAACCCGCACACTAAACTAGCCCTTTTCGCCGACGACACTGGCATCTACTACTCAAACCGAAACCTCAACTACATCGTTCTCACCCTTCAAAGACACCTCGACGCCTTCCAGGACTGGGCCGAAACCTGGAAAATTCAAATAAACCCGGACAAAACCCAAACCTTACTCATAACCAACAAACGAATTACTTACAAGACCCCCAAACTTACACTAAACGGCTCCCCCCTCGACTACTCCAAAACCATTAAGTACCTTGGGATAACAATAGACCTCAAAAAAGCCCACCGAACCACAGCCTGTTTGAACCCCCTTCTAAATCAAAAAAGCACCCTCTCCCTTAAAAACAAAATTCTGATTTACAAACAGGTCATCAGATCCCAAATTTGTTACGCTGCCCCCATCCTTAGCCAAACCTCCAAATCTGCCATTACCAAGCTTCAAAGATTCCAAAATAAAATCCTCCGGCGAATGACGAGACCCCCTGGTATGTCCGCAACTCCCAGATTCATGCAAACCTCGAAATGAAAACCATTGAGGACTTCATTTCGAGGCTTCACGACAAGTTTAAAGCCCGCGTCCTATCACATCCAAACCCCCTTATCAAATCCACCTTCTCCCAAAAAATCCCAAAACATAACTTCCGTACACCAACTAGCCTCATGGCAAACCCCCCTTGGTACCACCCACCGTAGCTGAGCTGACCAAAATCGCCCAACAACAAACGCTTGACTCTCATAAGCCCCCCAACTTGCCCCCCGCGCAATTCGCTTCCTGGAGCCTAAAAGCCTAATGTAAATTTTCCCCCGTTAGTTTCAAAAGCCACAAAACCGCCCAAAACAGCGACCACAAACACAACACACCTCCGCTGAAAAGCAAACCCCCCAACACCCTCACCCAGGTATCCTCGAGGTACCAGTACAAAAGACTCAAGGCCTTAAATGGCTAAGTCTGTTAAACATCCACGCACAGGCGAAACTTGGCACCAGATTGAAAATCAATACCTGCGTGTGCTACTCTGAATGTAAATGGTTCCAATCAGCTTTATATATTATACTATTTGTCCGTGGAAAAAATGTATACCTACTGTACTTATTAATTTGTGACATAGGTAGTAAATATTATAACTTTTTTTGTTATTGGTAATAAAAACATTTTATGGAATTAAAATTTTCCAATATTTATTATACATCTGATTGTATAATATGTACCCATCTATTATTTTGCAGGTAGTCCCAGTTACAGCTCAACTACCTACTTCACTGAAACCGGGATGGCAGCTTGAAATCATGGGTAGAGTAAAAATACTTCCGTCGGCTTTTTACATCAACTTGCAAGATGGCAATACATTGTGGCCCCACCCAATGATTCCGCTACACCTCAATCCTCGATTTTGTAAGTAGCTTAAAGCTCGTATTAAACAAACGTTTACATTTATTTGGTAAATTCAGCCCTGGCTGTATCACTCACGTTAACTTTAACGAGCATGTTATCCGTCAAACACGTTATGTGGCTCCAGCTTGTGTGTTGTATCAGTCAAACCGTTATATTATAACGGGCGCACGCTATCGACAAACGTTATATTAAGAAATAGCGCTTCAGATCAGCATCAAATCACATGCCGCTATCGAACTTAAGGTGCGAAGCGAAGTTAAGCTCGGAGGAATAAATAAAACAATTGTGTTTAATCAGAGCGTAGTTTTGTGTTTTAGCTATAATTTGTTTTCAATTTAAAACAAAAATATGTCTTTTGGTGGTCTTGTAAGGTTAGCTTTATTAGAACAATTAGGAAATGGTCTTGAAAATAAACTTTATTTTCCTCCACAAACTACTAAATTTTCAAATTGTTTGCGGTTTTATTTTTTTGCCTCTTCTGTACATGCTCCATTGAAAGTGTTTGAGAAGATGAGTCAAGAACAGTAACGAACGAAATTGAAAGTAAATGCAAATCATAAGCAAAGACAAGTATGGTAGTAGGTGGGCCAAATGGTCAAAACGTGCACATGTGGTGCATATGTTTTAGAAGCTTTTTTTTATGCATTCGATATTTTTTCCTTTTTTAAGGTTTGATGGATAACTGGGTCGGAAACGCATACGTTAAATCGGAGATAGAGCACACCTCGATTGTGTTGCTGAGTCATCGAAAATGTTATCCTGAACTGTTAAGTTGTCATCACGTGTGGCCGTTAAAAATAGCATTTATGATACAGCACAGGGCTGATTATGTCCGTTGAGGTGTTTGGAATAATCAGTTAATAGACTAAATTGTTTGACTCAACTTATGTGGAGAGATTTAAACAATCTACGTACATTAATTGCTTATAAACTGGGCTTCCAAAACTATTCTATTCTGATACGAATAACTTAAAAAATGATAGCGTGTGATTCTATAGTAAAATCAAAATATCTACAGATACATCGTATGGAAACCATATGTTTGTTCGCAACACCTGGATGAATGGCTCATGGGGCGAAGAAGAAAGAACACCAGGATTTCAGTTTACACCCGGAAAGCGGTTCCATTTAGCTATTAGAATGAATCCTGATAACTTCGGCGTGTGGATCGATGATATTCTAGCAGGCGAATTCCGTTTTAGAACTCCTACTGAAACAATAAATACCGTCTACATCCACGGGGATGTTCAAATTAAAAATATTTATCTGAAAGATCACATCGATGATAAAAATTTTGGATCCAGTAAGGAGAAGCTTGATCCTTTCTTATAACCCCAGAAGTTACATGTAGTTTTTACTAATTTTCATATTTAGCTACTACTTAAAGCTAGTCTAGTGATGTTATCGTGTATGTAGTTATTAAAATTGTTTAAGGAATTTCTAGTATCCCTCTCGACTACGCCAACGTGGCCTTTACTGAGTCGAATGCTGTTAAACATTATACTGTAATTGGTTATAAATATATATAGTAAGGTATTTTAAACTAACATGTCTGATTAGTGAGCGTCATATATAATATTATTTTTGTTACGTTGTTATTTCAATTTATGTTCACATTGTCTTACTTTTTAAAACATTTGTATAGTCTTTTATCATAAGTGTTCTCAACGGCGCTTTCGAATATTTAAATATATTAATTGCATTTTTAATAAATTTGTACTTTATTTCTCATCATTTCCGCTTAACTAATTAGTTTATCCATACATTTGGCTTACAATATTAAACTAAGTGACCATTTCCAACAAAACAACTACTCGCAACGATGGTAACTGAGTGAACTGCATCATATTAGGCATGAGGAAGTAAATTTCTTTACAATTCCGGGTATTCAATTTTCTCAATTGAATGAACTTAATAATTGAGACTTAGAATTATAGAGTCGACTCGATTTAGGGACAGGGTAGTATCAAGAGTTATTTGCGTGACTCCCCTAATTTTCGATCGAAGGTTTTGCATGTCTTCCTTGATCTCGTTGGTCAGGTGGTTGACTTGCCTCTCTATGTATATAGGGGTCCTGAGTTCACATGGCTCTTTGTCTGTTTCGATTTTTCTCCCTGATTTTTGAATTTCACGAGGGAGGAATTCTGCCCACATGGGCTATTGGGACAGTGGATTGACTTGTTGATGCTGACAGGGCGCTGTTCTTTCCCTGGTGAGTCTTTCGGCTGCCTGGTCCAGGTCGTCTTTTGTTGTGGGAAGGGGGATCCTGCTGGAGCTTTCCAATATTTGTTGGAAAGTCTGCCAGTTGGTGATCAATTTAGTGGCAGTGGAGTTGTTGCCAATTTGCATGAGAATTTAGAGCAGAGTTCTTGAAGTACATCCGGGGTGGACAATCTGTCTTTTGTACAAGAATACATATGTCCAAAATGTAATCTCTGCCAATATTAGTTCCAGAGGTGCTGCTATCTCAAACATTGCGAGTCTTACTTCCTTTGACAGCATGATTCTTCTGAGAGTGTTGTAATTGCATCATCGACAATTGGTGTTTTAGGCATAGAAATCTCCGCCATGTATTGTTGATCTGACATCTAGGAAGAGCCTTTGATCTTCCTCGGGACTCAACGTAGGGCCTGGATTGATGTATATGGCCCTACGCATTAAAAACTAACTCTTTGATATCCAGCATTTCCATTTAGATAGCAACTATGGATTCTTCAGACGTGCCGAAGGTTTGACGATCTATGGTGCTGTATGGACCTTTTCATTGCGACTAGTGTGCCTCAGCCCTTAGTTGTGCTGTCCTCCCTGTCTGTCTTCTACTTGCACGGTGATAATCTATCTCCAGGTTTCAATAGTGTCTTCTGGATTATGCACACGTCAACATTGTGTTGCTCCAGGAAGCCCTCAAGCTCTCACTTCTTGGATTTGACTCCCTGAGCATGCTGGGTGTGCTCTTCCATAGTTGGCGCACTTTTCTGATATTTCCCTGGGAATCTGGCATTTCCTCGATTGATGCGACTCACCGTATTTGGCCTCCGTAGTGTATTTGGCCTGGCCATGTCTCATGTATTCTCCTTTAATCCTGTTCGGCAGCTCTTTTGTTTAGTGATGATTTAGTTTCGCCGCGTTGTGAACAGGTTTATTTGTTAAGGAATAAGTTTATTTCGCCGTGCCGCGTTTGAACTTTGTTTTTAGCCAGACGACGATTGGTCGTTTTCCCAGACTTTTGTTGGTGAGTCTTTTGTTCCTGAGTTAGTATAAGTCTGTTTTGATTAACCGACCGATTAACGAGTATCTTGCGTTATTTGGGTTTAGTGTGAATTTTGTTGTTGGATTTTGTTTTTTCCGGTCGCCGCTGAAGGACCTGGGTTTCCTACGTTAAGCGTGCTCACCAGAAAGAAAGTCGAAAGTTCCACCCTAATCCCTCTCTGGCCGTTGATTTAACGTTAATTAGCTCTGTTAATCTTTGTTGTTTTTTTGATAAAAAGCATTCCAGTAACTCTCAGAATTGATGCGAAATATATCATTTATAGCTTGGATTTTGAACTTCTAGGCCAATTGGTCGTTATTACGCATTTTAACAAATTTGATCGCTTAATTTGCAATTTGTCGCCCAACTTGACAGCACTGGCAGGAAAATATCCGTTGGCCGAGAAAAAAATATTACCATAATCGTTCCTACTCTTAGGAAGTTGAGCTACATGTGTTTTAATATAAGTTAATAAATAAAAGTATTAAGAACATTTTAACCTATTAAATATGGGTCGAGATCTCGAAATGTTGTTTAATTTGGGATGCAGAAGTGGATATAACGCCGTTGGTTCGCTGCCGACTCTCTCTTTGCTATGCCGCCATACGTTATCGGCGAATCGCTGCGATTGACTGTGCATACGGGCGTAAGCTACCCCTTATTGGAACATCGAGTGTTGAATTAACAGTTCTTTAAAAGAAGGACAACAAACCGGCCTTTGGAGGTCAGGAACTACTTGGAAAAGGACGCCAATAGCCGATAGTCTCAGAATCCCTCTGGCCAATTTTGTCTGTGTTAAAAAACTACCAGCGCTAGTCGAACTTCAATTGAAACAACCCGGACCTAACCAGTACCCCTGGTCCATTTTGTATTGACCAAAAAACCTACAACACTAAGAAAAAATGCAAAAAGAGCTGGGGCTTGAAACCCCCGCGCCATTTCTTCCTCATTATGAAAAGTTAGGACTTGAGGAAAATAAATAAATTGATAAAGAGGTGGGATTGGAAATTCCCTTCGCCAATATATTTCTTACCCCAAACCATACCAACTGATTGATAATATGAATTGGAGATCATCGGACACCTCATTCACGAGCTGTTTGATTTATATTTTATAAGATAATAGTTTCAATTTAAATGTTTTACTTAAACTTGACACCTTTCAGAGCAACTTCAGTAATATTTTCGACTTTTTCTGTTTTTTGATTCCAGAAGATCTATTATCTCGCTCTATGTCTTGGCGCGCACTGACAGCGATATGGCCGCAGGCGTCTTTGTTGGCCAGACGACGACGCTCAAAACGACGCTTCTATCGCTCTACAGTTTCCCGAAAACCACCGATTGGTAAACGTGGAAATCACATTTTCCATTTCCGGGCTGTGCGCGATCGTGTTATTTTTCAAATGGATTTAAACCTCCCAAATTATACTGGTGTCGTGTGTTCTACGAATTACGTTTCTGTTGAATTACACTAAAGGAAATGTGAATCAACTCATCTTAATAGTTGGCTTTAAACATCTGGAAATGTAAAAGCAATACTAAGGAAAATATGTAAGTCTTTATCTTGTAACACAACAATGGTAGCTTTAGTAAAAGTGTAAAAAGTCAGGTTTTGTGATAGATACAATGCAACATGCCCTATTAATTAAAGCTCTTTTACATTTAACTAGTCTTGAAAAATCTGGTACTGTATTATTAAAATGTAGCAGAACATGAAGATTTACACGATACGAAACGATAAGTATTTTACCAGACGTTCTAGACATAAACTAATGTTTTTCATACAACTGTAACAACAAATCTATTTGACTTGCTCCGCACATTTTATGCTACACCATACATATGGATTGCTCGTGTGAAAACTCATAAAAACGTTATTCCATTAAATCAGGAGCCGCAAAGTATTTTCAATATATTATCTAAAATCAATAAAACACTTGGAATGTTACTCAGTTATCCGTGTCCGGGCTTCTGAAGACAATTCCGGACTTTTTCGTGTCTTTCGTGACCAGTATTACTTAAGGATGGTATAATATCCACTAGAAAATCGATGGTAAGTTTAAATTTATTTTGGAGCTATTTGATATTCTGCGCCGAGTCCAAGCAAAGCCTCGAAGAGGTCCTTTGCGTCAAGTATAATACTTTGACTATTTACTATAGCTAAGTAGATATCTAATAGGTCTAAACTTGCATTGCGCAGATAAAAAATTAAGGTGCATATGTATTTCATAGGGTTTGCCTACGAATTTAAATAATACAGTAGTGTCGCGATAATTCAGATCAATAAAAACAAAGGTGATTCGAATTCGAACTGCTTCCAAAAATCGTGATTATCAAATCATTTTTAAAATTGCATCATTGCATTTTAAAATTTTACTCAAATTTCACTTACACTTTTAGTTTTTTACTGCTGACCTGAGAAGTTACCATTATTTACTCCATTTCATTAGTGAGAAGTTATATTTCTCTCCCTGGTACAATAATAATAATAATAATAATAATAAAAGTCTCTAGGTAAATAATGACAGATGTTTACCTTTTTCATTATATTTAGTTTGCCCACCTCTTTAAGTTCAAGGGAGATTCTTAGTGATTTCGTGAGTTCAAGTGATTTTCACTGTTTAGTTTCAACCATAAAATACCGCAGTTCAAGTTAACTTGTGTATTCAAGCGCTTAGAATCGACCCTGGCGGTCTGCCCATGAATTACCATCTCCTCCAGCAATTTCAACCTAATGGAAGAACGAAATACGTTATGTAAGACGTAAGGTTAAGGGCAGAAGACCTTCCTTCGAGACTGTCAGCCTCTGCGGAATCCCATGCTCTTGTTGGAACGTATACATAAGAACCACGAAGAGATCGGTACTTGAAAAGAATCAGAAAAATTGTAGATTGGGACATGTGGAAAAGTCGGTAGTGGTGGAGCATGCCCTCATCGAGACAGCACACAACATACAATTTGCAGAAACTGAAGTTCTGGCAACAACAACAGGCAACAACATTGTCTGCGGCTAATACGAGAAGCCATTGCAATCTTCAAATATAGCGACAATTTCAACATAAAAGAAGAGGCAAAGGCACTAAGCAATATGGTTTCCACTATCAACGCGAAAACACCAAGGCCAGGAACCGGCATCAGACAGTAAGCAGAATCGAACCTGCATCCGATTACGACAAAACTGGAGGCTAACTGATAACAAACATCAGACTGCTCAGACGCCGATGACCCAGGCCACGTCGACACAAACCACGTCACCACAATCCATGCAGAATTGACGAAGTGCAGTGAGTAAAGTGCAAGCTTTCGATCGAGCCACCTATGAAGATACGAACCACTCGTGCTTGCGAAACACCAGGAAAAAAGGTTTAATTTGCGACGGCCTAAAAACTCGAAAGACTCACCAGTTTCACTTAGTTATATTATTCCATACACTGTGATTGCCTTGTTCATGTTTATTTAGCCTTCAATATCTTCAACTAATAAAAATCTGCCAGCACATACATAATTTTCATATATTCATCCTACGGATGTATGCCCCTGCCGAGTTTTACCTGCTATCGATTCGGACAATAATTATCGCTTTGTCTTTCCTATATTTAGCTTGAACATCGATAAAATATCACTTTGAGTTTTTTTTAATATACACGCAATAATAAAAATATTAAAGCAATGCCTGTCAATAAACATAAAGGCTGTGATGGCGTGAATTTAAATCGGTGGTTTTAAGCTTTGAGTGTGTTTAAAACATGTCCTTGTTAAAGCCGACTTCTAACGGGTACTAAGCCGGTTTCAATATATTCGGATTGAATAGCCTCTTTTGAGATAAGCCTGGTCCCGAGGTCTCCACTCCAAGATTTTTCTAGTTCATCAGCCATCAGATGTCCTTGCAATATGTCCAGCCCAATTCAATTTTACTTGGGTCAGAGACAAGATGAGGCGGAAAGCTAGCTACATGTAAAAAAATTGTCCTGTGAGAAGATTTCCCGTCAAATTTCAAAATATGTAGTATGCTGGAGTAGTCAATGTTTCAATGCTTGAAAATCTGTACAAAACGTATTTAATCGACCCGAATTATAGCCAGTTGTATTTAAGTAAAATAATGGCCAATTTCATTGGACTCCACTAATACGGCTTGTACATAATTAATTTCCTAATAATAAATAAATTTAATAGACATTTCCCCATAACTAATCGCATATTACAAAATTCGATGTTTGTATACATGTTGTGAAAGGGGCTTCAAAGTAAGTCACAGTTTAAAAAGTCGTAGGCTTAAAGCTAAAACTGACCAAGTCTAAAATATAAATTTTTGGTAGATGCACTTTCAAACTGAGCCAAAAATTATATGATAATCCTTTTGGAAACTATGTCATAAAAACATAATTTAGTGTACGTATTTGTGTGGCCTTGGGGGACTTTGCCAGCTTTTGAAGACAAATATGTAATTTTTTTAAATGATTTGGTCAACCAAATACAAATACGGAACTTTGCACTCGGTCACATTTAGCTTCAAGCCGACGAAGTTCTTTTTATTATTGACAAGGCTATCTACCTGTAACTATCTGTTAATGACCAAAAACATCGAAGCCGCTTTGATTTTTTACAAAAAAAATTGTACAATAGGACTTTTAATCCCGTTAACAACTTTTAAATTAACAGTAGATACTTTTTGAATATAAACATTTTTCGTAATTTTTCTTTTCGAATGCTTGAGTATTCCAATCGGACCAATTAAACTTTTTCCATTTCTCATTTCATTTCAAAATCATTTCAAACTATTATATCTGCTAAAAATTTAAACTAATTTTTTTTAAATGTTTTAAGGTATTTTATAATTAAATTAATAGACAGAGATAAAATTGAAGTCAAATAAATAGTTTTTAATGTTTTTTATTAATCAAAATACATGCATAGTCTCCTTTGGATAGAATTTCATACATGTTTTGAGATGTCCGATCGGTTCCTTATTTCTTGAAATCCAAAAACCAAAAAATATGTTGATATGCATTATAATCATAACTCAGTGGCGTATAATATTTGTTTCTTAAAAATGGTGAATATCATATCGGCAATCGCGACACTGGTGGACCACAAAATATTTTATTCAACAGAGACCTGAGTACATGATCTACCTACTAAACTATGGAAAATTTCACGAAAATATCTCCAAAGGTTTCGAATCTGATAACATATTTTTGTATTTTTTAATAAAACACCCTGAAGATCGGTAATGATGCTATTAAGGATGTTTATTTGCTGGTTTATTTTAACGTGTGATCCCAAAATTGTAGCGGTCATCACCGTCTGAAGTTGAATTCTGGCACAGTGACACAGACAGATAATTTTCCTCGCATAACTTCACCTCTCAGGAACTGGCAGTTATTTGGGTCTGGCATAAAATTCCATAACAGAGATTCCTGGTACCATAGTATGGCCTTTATTGTGCAAGTGTACAGAAGTTTTTGTTGAGGTGATAAGAATAAGTGAGGCGACAGAAAAGAGCATGGTTTTCTTCTGGCCATGTTACCCTTTTGGATAACATGCTTAACATGTTTTTTGCAATTGGTCTTATTTTAATCTCGGGTATATTGCCTGGGGCCCTGGTTGAATTGGAATGTTTTGCACCTTCAGGCGTCAAGTAATTCAGTTATTTGTGTGCTTCTACGTGAGAACGATACTTTGGAGGAGGAGGTGTACCATGAAATATTATGCAGTCTGAGCAGCTTGAAATAATAACATGCACACTTTTTGCTGTGTATAGGGTGTTATACTCTTGCCGAAATGCGGCTTTTGAAAGAGTTGGGTTTTTCCACCTTCACCTTGATCAGTGCGGTTCTTAAGGCAATTCACAAATAACGATATTAAGTGCAATTGGAGAAAATCTGCGACAAATAGTTTGTACAGAAGACCTGAGTGCCAAAACTGTGCCGAAGACTCGGTCCATATTGAAGAACAGCATAACCAAGTTTTGAATGTTGCTAAATACTGTCTGGACGTTATTTGCTATATCTGCAGAGTTGTATTGGGATTTAGCCTGAAGCCAAACTGCTCTTCCGGAATCAGCGCTCTCATCTCGGTTGTCGTTTGCATTTTCATTGCATTGCGTTATTCCACTATTGTTGAAAGTGCTGTAGTTTGAGGATCTCATTAACAATAAGCACTATTAATACTATAGTTTTCTGCGAAATATTTTTGCGCCGCCAGTAAGAAATGCCGCCAGATCCTCTGGCTTTTCGGCTTGAGAACACTAGAAGGGATTGAATATTTCTTTCCTTCAAAAACAGCGGTATGTCTCCTTATTACGCCGTCTTAAAGTGCTGGTCGCTTTGTGCACTTCTGCGAGAACTCTAGAAGCAACAAGAGTTGTCGATGCATTTAAGATCGGGACATTTTCCACACAAGTTTACAAAATTCTTGCCAAGGTCGATCGTTAAACATTTTTTAAAACTCTTATGACGGAGATGCGGAATGGACCGTTTGCCGTTCTGGACGTGGTGTGCATAGAAACGTTGTTGCACGACTTTGTCTCACAAGTCCACAGGTTCCACAGG